ATCAATGCAAAAACTGCTGATACTGCACCACCAGACGGACACGCGGCATAGCAACAGGAGGGAGGGTTACCAGCTTCACCCGCAATAGTAAGAAGAAAAAGAAAGTGCTGCGGTAGGCAGGGCGTCGTTCTGAGCAGCACAAAGACCCTGGTAACCAAACAAAGCTCGTGAAAGAGGGGGAAGGGAGGGAAAAGAGTTTAGCTTTGCACTCTTTCTCCCCCGCCCTTATCACAGCCAGAGCCCAGCTCTGAAATTGCAAACGTGCAGTGACATCCCCCATACCCAACGTACCAGCACCAAAAGCTGTTGCTGGTCCTCAGTGGTTCTTGGAACCCCATTCACAGCCCCACAAACATGATGGCTCTGCGCTTGCCTGGCACGGTGAAGGTCCCAACGCTCTCTCCCCCGCCCTTGTTACAGCCAGAGCCCAGCTTGGAAACTGCAAACGTCCAGGGATTTCTCCCACACCAAAGGTGCCAGGGCCGAAAGCTGTTGCTGGTCCTCAACGCAAGCCCTTTCACAGCCCCACACACACGGGGGCTCTGCGCTTGCCCATTGGCGAAGGTCCAGCGCAACGCAGCGGGGCAGCCTGAACGCCCTCCCAGCCCCTCCTGCGGCTGCGGGCACAGCAGACCCCAGTTTAGCTCTAGGCACGCAGCTTGGCGCAGCAACCCAAAGTGAGTCCAGCAGATCCCCCGGGCTGGCAAACAAAAAGCAGGGCACGTGTTAAAAGCCGGGCTGAAGAGGGATTATTCCTGTGTAGGGTCTCATTTTATTTTTTTCCACTTTACATGTTTCCAGTAGCACTTTCCTGGTTTTGCTGGACTCCGTGAAGCAGCACTACGAACTCGCTGCTGGAAGGTAGCGCTGCCGAGGAACTGAAAAGTTTGCAGCAAAGCCAACCCTGGCTTGGCGCCAGTTCCTTCCACAACCTCATCTGCTTGAGCCCTGTATTTACACATTAACAAACTAGAATTCTTGTGACTAAGCTCTTGCAAAGCTGTTCTTCTGTTGCTGGGAACCGTGACGGATGACGGTAAGAGAAGGCAGAGAGGATGCTATTGCAGCTTAAGTTCACAGTGCCTGAGCTGAGAGGCAGCACCGGATTCGGGGAGCGCTGCCGCGGAGCGCACACGTGGGGTAAACGGGGCTCCCCTGACGCGAAGGTTCCCCGTTACTCGGGTATTAACCTCCACGACGAGGCACCGCGGGAGCCCCGTGCCCACCAGCTCTGCCCGGCTTTCCGGCCCAGATGGAGCAGGGCGGCCGCGAGCCCCGGCTGCAGGCAGCTTGGGAACCGCAGGCGTAACCCACCGCTGACTCACCAGCCGCCGAATACGCTTCTGGTCGCTCCAGGAAGTTGCAAAGTTTTACGACTTTGGCACCCTGTTCATCTGACACCTGTTTTTCAAGAACTGCTACTTGGGGCGTGAGTTATGTGCTTATTGTAAACTCCGGAGGTTACGGTAAACTCTGTTTCTGTGGCCTTGAGACAGATTTAGACACGTTCGGCTGCTTTCCTCTGAGATTCCAGCACTTCTTACACCCTTGCAATAGCACCTCCTTTTGCGTCCCCAGGTTCACTTCTTATCGCTCCTCGGGTACCGAAATACAAACACCCTCCGCGAGCCACCCGACGGGAACAGGAGAGGAGCATTTCCTAAGAGGAAACTTAATAGAAAACCAATTTCGGTTCCCCACGCTGCTGAATTGCGCTCTAACCACAAATTTTCTTGAGGCCGCATCCTATTACAACGCTTAGGATGTGGCAACCTAATATTAACATATTGCTTGTAGGTAAAGCGCTAGCAGATTTATGGTGTTCTCCCCGTTGGCGTTAATACCTTTTAACTTTGACTGTCTGGAAGGCTGACGTGCAGTCAACATGAGAGCTCTGAAGCCCCTTCAAGCAGTGTTACAGAGGCGATATTTTCAGTTGGAGAGTTAGTGGAAATCCGTCTGGCTAGGGAAAAGCACTGTGCTAGCAGATAGGACGCAGCGTGCAAGACTTGGATACCGCAGATAGGACGCAGCGTGCAAGACTTGGATACCACAGCCTCGCTGCCCGCGACGCTTTCCGCTCACGGGCTGTCTCACCAGCAAAAGGAAGCTTCCAACGAGAAAGGCCAGCCACGTTTTCACAGCCGTGCCCCTCAACAGCCCCGTGGGTTGGTAACTACAGTTTAAGTCTTTGAAAACAAAAGCTCTGGTGTCAAAAAAGTCATTACAACCGAATCCGCACCAATTGGCCCGCTTCTTTTTTTCCCCCTAGAGCAGCTGCACAGCAAGAGCTATTTAAAAAGCTCGAAGTTTGTGCCAGCTTTAGGCTTATCCATAGCAACAAAGCCAGCGTGGAGCCGGCCGGTGCAAACCTGGACCTGCAGACGCAGGAGGCCGGGCAGCACGCAGCGCCCGTGGCTGCGGGCCGCAGGTCCAGAACGAGGAGCCCGCAGCGAGGCCGAGCTCGGCTCTGCTGCAGTCGCGCCTCCCGCTGCAGGCGCAGCGCCTGCCGCTGCAGGATTTTCTCCTTTTCGGTGTTTTTCGGTTACTTCACGTAACGTATTACTCACCTCCTCCTCCCAGAAACTGCACCTGACTGAAACGCAAACAGCGCAGAAACCTCAGGAGGGAACTTCAGCCAGCTCGCGTGAAAGCGCATGAAAGACGATGAATTTAAGCTGAAGAAATCCCAAAGAAATCTGAGGGAGCACAAAAACGATTAAGGCCTTTGACGTTACAGAAAATGCAGACAGAAGGCATTGTTTAATGCATTACCACAGAAAGACCACAGGAAACACAGCAACACAGGTTAAAATACTTTTTAATTGTTTATTATAAAATACATATTTACATGTGAAGGCACTTTGAAACTGTTACAAAATGTTCATATAAGCTATTGGTTTAGCTGTTCAACAAGTCCAAAAATATTTTTTCTATCATCACCTAAAAAGGTGAAAAAATCTGAACTGCATCCAGTTGTAGTACATTCATTTTTCTAATGAAAAACCACTAACCCTAATGACAACTAGTAAGGATTTTAGCACCATCGGTTTTCTACGGTTTCAGAGAACACAGTAACAGCGCAGCGAGCAGAACGCGAGATCTGCACGCGACGTTGAACTAAAACCAAACCAGCGAAACTCTCGCCATACAATATCGCTGAAGGATGCGCGCCATGAAGCCCGAGCGGGCGCCTCGCAGCCAGAAAGGCTGCAATCCTCTGTGCCAGTAAGGCAGGCTCTGCCCAACGCTAAACCAGGACTCCCCCCTTCCCCCAGAATCCAGGCAGCTTTTGGGGACTGGAGTGCGTACAGTGAACGGCCGTAGTTGTAACAGCACTGAGAAGCAGGTCAAGACAGAGAGGTTTTTTCGCTTGTACTTTCTATCTCAAGATCTGAAGAGAAATATTAAAAATTGAATAAAATTAAAGGAACCGAACAGAAGGATCTACATGAAACCTAGTCCACTGCGTGGCCACTTCCTCATACTGCAGCCCTCTATGGCCAAACCTTTCAGAAATAAGCACCTTTTTTGGAAAGTAAAAAAAAATAAAATATTTTAGTTAATAATTCAAAACCAAGTTACGGAACTTGTAAACTTTCTGCTCACTGCTGAGCAGGGTCCCTGCACACGTACACTTTTAAATACGTTTTTCCTCCATCACTGCTGGCCGGATTCATTAGCTGAGACTGCCTGGAATCGTCGCGGTGCTCTGCCCTGGGACCGTGGTACAGCAGGTACAGTACAGCAGCATCTACTACACGAACCAAACAACCAAGTGAACAGAGCTCCTTAAACAAGTCCTATGGAATCGTTCAATTTTTTTTTTTTTTCAGTTCAATATACACATAAACTGAAAAATACAGTGCTGAGAAGTTTCTCTATGGCTCTAATCTTAAATGCAGTTCCGAAATAAGATCAAGCTACTGATTTACAGTAATGAATAAACCTTGACTTTTTTCCATTTTGGTAAAATAAACCCTACCAGATCCCTCAGCGTTAAAAACTTAGTTACAGGAACTGGATGCTGGAATTTACATATTTCCAAATCAATCCAAGCCTTTAATAGCTATAAACCCCCATATATACAAACATGCCTTATCTGATGGGCTTACGTTCAGTGTAGATACTACACAAGAGGCTAAGATCTTCAGGAAAAAATAAAACGAAGAGATACAGTTTGTTAAATGAATGTGTGCATTTGAACGGCTGTGGGACGGCCAAAGCCCCAGCTGCTTTTCAGCTGCACCCAGCTCGTACATCTCCGCGGGCAAGCTGCAGTAGGCGCGAAGAGCTGCTACAGCAGGGCTGCCGTCAGGCTTCCCACGGGAAGGGAGCAGCTCCCGTGGCAGCATCCACTGGCTCGGGAGAAAGGTAATTCCCACTCCCTGAACCGTATCTCGGTGCTTTATCAGACGTCAGTGTCCAGTTTAAGTCACTGCTATTCCTACTTTTTGATTATTGCCTTCGTTATTGCAAAAGCCGTCTGATCCACGCCATAACGTTCACTTTTACTGAAGTTCTGGCAGGAGATGGAGCACGGCACAAATCACACAGTTCAAACCTGCTCAGCTCTTCCGGAGGCTAAACGATCAATTTGTTCTCCACTCCAGTTACTCCACAGTAAAATAACGCGTAAAATTCCACATTCTTTTAAAATAAGGCACTTTTAAAGTTTCTTCCCCAAATACCAAAAGCTTGAGGAAACTTAACTGACTTCACTCACTTCCTTATCCTTCCTATTCCAAAAATAAAACCAGTATTACTAGAAGCTGAGTTACACTCAGAACTCGCGACGCTCTAAATTGGGCTGGAGAACGTCCAATATGGCTTTCTACAGATCGCTCCTTCGCTGAAACAGCTCGAACAGGGTAACTCATAGCACGGCGTGCCCTTTGGGGATGAAGATCACCACCACCTCTCATTCTCTGGCGTTTACTACTTAACCCTTGCTTCTTGCATCCTGTGGAAGTCAGGTAAAAGTTCAGTGTTAAAGACGCTTGGCAGTTGTCTGTATACACAAGCAAGAAATAGTGCAACAGCTGTATCTAACTCCATAGCTCTTAGATCCCACAGAAAATCGGCAGTTCTAATGATTTGCTCTTTCACTGACAACATCCTGGAGACGTTTAAGTAGAACATCATCGTTTTCTTGGCAGAGTCGCTTCGTAGGGGATTCAGTGTCACTATCAATTGTTATTGCTCGTTTCTTACTCCTGTGTTCACCTTGTTTTATCATATTGTTGATGTCCTTCAAACTCTGCGATCAAGATAAAAAAAAATCATGAGTTACTACGACTCCATTTCAAACTTGCTCTGGTTTTCAATGGTCTGAGAACAAAAAGTTATTCTGAACCTCTGTGCCGAGCGGGTGATGGATTCTGCATAAGGAATTCTACCCTCTGCTGCAAACAGAGACAGTTCAGTGACACCTCCCTGCACTGGAATACATCCTAATTCGGAGATTAATTAACCCCCTCTCAAACTGACCCCTTTCAGCCTTTTTGCTTTCTACCTTGGAAGGGCTCCCATTGAATTTATAGAGCAGCGCAGTTCGGGGTGTCAAGCAGGCACCATTCTTGTGCGGCGAAACGTAAACGGAGTGCTGTTGAGAGATCCGTCGAGGAGACACTGGCTGTTGCTTAATGTTGGGGAATGGAGACAAGGGAGGGGCTTCCACCTGCAAGAGAGGACGCATGTGGATAGGAGCTGAATCAGAAGATATTTAAGAGCAGTAACTTCACAGAAGGAAAGGTTAATACACTTCCAGGTCGTCTTAGAAGATTTTATCCCGTAACAGTTAAACAACAGAGCAGGTATCCACCAAACAGAAGAAATTTATTTCCCAGATGCATTACACAGATGCTCCACAGGCGCTTGAGCAAATGGGTACTGCATCGATATAAAGAAGCAGAAATCGGGGTTGTAAACTGAACTGCACCTGCATTTGTCCTCCTGAAAGGCTGTTAAAGCAAGTCCTCATGCCATACCTACAACTGTCTGACTTCTGTAACCACACCAGGTGAATAACGGAACAAAATTATCGACGTACGTTTAACTGTCAGGAAAAATGACTCTGTGTCCGATTATTAGATAGAGCAAAATTCCAAGATACTTACTACATGATCCTGGTTTGTGATATCGTACTTCAGTGCAAATGATTTTACTCTTCCTACATAGACTGCATTGTAAAATTTAATCAGGTCTCCTCTCTCCTCCGTTCCCGACTCGCTCTCTGCTGCGCATCGTCCCGAGGAACCACCCGCTTTCACCGACGAGTCTAACAGTAAGAGAGAGCTTCAGATTTCAGAAACACAGTATCAGCAAACTGGGCGCTTCAGATTCAAACTGACAATATCCAACCGACAGGAACTCGGCCCTAAATTGCCTGGTTAATGAGATGAATTAAAGAAACGTGCCTCAGACAGGAACAGGGGGTGCTGTAGGTGGCTATGAACATCAGGAGGGGCTACAAATCCCTGCTAGCAGGCTAGTGGATTATGGCTGAAAAGGCCAACATAAATCTTTATTCCAAACTTGGAAATAGCTGTAGCAAAAAGTTGTAGCACAACTGACCCCTTTTCCCACGCTTATTTTGGCGAGTGGTACAAAGCCATTTGTCGCTCTTAAAACTAAGTCGTAAGCAGTCTGACAACTCCCAGCTTTCGGCTTCTGTGAAAGTTTCTAGTGATCAGCTGGCAAAGAATAGCTTCGTACTCAACTCACGGCTGCTGCAAGGAAGCCACGATGCCATTTGTTCAGGCATAGTACGAAACGGCTGGTCAGTGGGAAAAGCTGCAGCCACACAGCAAGTACATTTCTGTTCATGTTCTCTCTCCCCTAATTAAGCTGGCCCGCTACTGAATACAACCTTTATGTTTCATCCTCCGTAGTGTTTACTGCCAAGCAAGACAGCGTAAGGCAGAATAAAGCCTCCTGCAATCAGTGCACTATGAGGCAAAGGCCAAGAGCTCCAGCTGATACCCGTAAGGGTGTCTGCCTTGTGTCACACCACCAGCACGGGCGTTCTGTAAGCTGCTGCCAAAAGAGCTGGAGTTGATACTAGATAAATGAGACATAAAACTATTAACTGAAAAAAAAAGTCTGGCAGGAAAAGCAACTGAAGGACTTTGTAACCAAGTACGTTTGTTTGAGAAAACAGCAGAGCCCAGGGCCGCTTCAGCTGCTCTACAACATCCCAGAACCGCGGAGCTGCTAGAGAGGATGCTGAAGCCACAGCAGATCAGCACTTTCCTGGACCCCAGTGGAATCCTCAAAAGCCATTTAAAAATGGCTCTAATACTTGTTCAAGCAGTTGAATCCCACCCACAGTGGGAATTTACTGTATGGAACAGCCTTCTAAATTTCCGCCTGTCTCCTGGCTGCAGTTCTGCTCTGCTCATGGGTTCATACCTGGGCTTGTGATCTCTCAGTTTCCTGAGACGTCACTAAAAACGGGCATGGCTCGGTTCTCATGCTTTTCTCAACTACTACTCTTACCCCTTTTCTCCTCTAACCCAGAGCAAAGAAAATATCAACTATTTAAAAGAAATGTGAATATAAGAAAACGGTGGTCTTAGAGAGTTACCATTTTTATTTTCTGAAACAAGTTCTCTCTATTTAAGCCTTCAGGATAGGTGATACTAAGAAAAAAAACTGTCCTAATATTCCAGGTACTATTCATCTTTGTTAACCAGTGCTGCTGTCCAAGAAGAACGACAATATCACTGACACACTAAGGAAACACTTCGCCCTCGAGCAACCAAATTTAAGGAAATAAATTAAACATTTTTTCCAACTAGGAAGCATATTTTCCATATCTAACACACAGGAGGGCTACTGATCGTTTCTTTTTCAACAATACATTTATTTTTCTTTAATACATTTAAAACTGTAAAACTTGCTTCACTTCTTATTACTTGACAGTTCAGTTCTTTAAAAATGTACTCGAGGGCTTTTAAAAAGAGCAGATTACTTGCTGGACCTACCTTCTGTCATCTCCACATCTTGGTTTGCATTTTTGTCCGACAGGACATCGGCAGAAACATTTCTCAACAAGACACTCCTGTAAACCTACAGGACACCGGGGAAAAACACTCTTGTCAAGGAAAACAAGGCAGGCAGCAGACTGGATGAAATCCATCTGAACGAGAATGAATATAACACTGAAGAGGATTTGACTTTTCCCTTATCAGCATCAACGCTTGAAAAGCCACCTCTGTCTGAGATGTATAAAAAGGAAAGGCAATGCTGTTTACTCACGTGGCTGTTCGCTTGTGGCTGATTTCTGTAACTTTTCATTATGTCCTGAAAAGTTCTTTCCTCTTTGGTTACCTGGAAAAGAAAAGGCTACTGAAGACCAAGTGCAAGCAGCAAGGTCAGGTCCGGTCTATTCAATTAGCTTCCCTCTGTACTGGTTTTTCATGAGTATTGTGATGGATAAATAATTTTAAAACTTAGTCCTGGTGATGAGAACATGAAAACACAAGCACTTTTCTTGTTCAGGCATTCCTTGTTTCTTAGCTGCTAAAGCCTTTTGTTGCTTATGATGCTTAGGAATTATTCCTTTTCCGACTTTTCTTCTAGTGACACTAAAAATTAAAGAAGGGAAGTATTATTAAGTCCAAAATGTATTTGTAAATTTGAAAACTGGATCCCTTAACTTTTCTAAACAGAAAGTGAGGAAATCCTGAACAAAACACTAGGCAGGTATGTACACATATGCAATTTCAGCTTTCTTTCATACTTCAAAATAGCTCCTTTGTTAAAGGGCTTTGTTTTTCAGCCACGCGTCTGTAACTTTAATAGCAGATGAGCAACAATTTCTGTAGTAGGAGCCAGGAGAGAACCTATCAAGATATCTGGCTAAATTGTCAGGTCTCACACTGCACTGGAGACAGCACTCAGAAGACTGTATTTAAAAAAAAAAAAAAAAAGGCAAACAAAAACCCCACAACTGACAAACTACATGATAAAATACAGAGCACTGACTGTTCAATGGTTTTGCTTTTCTACGGCTATCAGTATCGATGTCAAATGAGCCTAAGCTATCCTCCAGTTGTTAAGAGCACAGGCAGTCACAACGTGAACATCGGTGTCCCTCCACAGACAGCGCTCCTCTTTATTTGCCTTCCTCAAGAAGAACAGGTAATCCATCCCCAATGTTTTAGAGGAGCCTGGGCTTAGTTCCACTTTCCTGAATTGGTGTCTGAATCAGAGCTGATGGCCGTTGTAAAAACGCCTTAAATCAACGCTGGCAAATTGAATAAGAAATGAAGAAGTACGAGTTAACAGGCAACCAGCTCAATTCCTCAACCTGAATCTTCAAAAGCTAAGAGGGTTTTTGTGGAATTGAAAGTTTCCATCCATACATAAGGTTGTGAGCTCCTGCAGATTTCTGCACCTGCACAATTCTGTAACTGTAATGGCGTTTTTAATTCAGATTACACAGATGACGAAGATGACGAACAGGACAGAGAACACAAATATGGGGCAATAAGACCACACACTACTTTGTCTATGCTGACCAGTGCTCATTGTGAATGTGCTCAGGAAGAGAAGAAAAGCCCTCTCTTAACCAACTGGCTGGTTGATGGGAACTTTCAAGATCATGGAAAACAAGGAAAAAATACACTGGGACTTCATCCACTTCTTGGAAGGACTTCTCCCATCCCTCCAGTAACATGACATGAATAAAGCAATCAAATTGTAAACTGTGAACACAATTTACATTTTCAATCAACATAAAATTCCCTGAATTTCTTAAAACTACACATTACCTTTGCCATGATATAAAAGGCACAAAGGAGGAGCTGGTCCAAGTGTCTGTCCTTCATCAGATCAGCACAATGAACCAAAGTGAATTCGAAGCATGTCCATATCTTCCTGCGCAAGTCATTGGAAACATCCAGTTTTAAGCACAGATCACGCAAGCGCACACTTGCCAGATGATAAACCTGGAAGAAAAAAGACACACAGTAAAGAGTCAAGCCAAACGAGCTTAACCTAGTCTGCAAAAATGAAAGTCCCCAAAGCAGAGCTGTTCTATATCGGAA